TCGTGTGCTTCATTTATTCTGTTGACCATTATATTACTAATAATTATCATTTTTGCTATCGACGTTTGATATTTTTTGAACGTAAAAAAGCAGTTATTGATTGATGCTATTCTATGCAAGTTATTGATAATATAAGAATATAGAATTGTTTTTTCATAAATCATACCTGATTATAGATAAACACGAGCAATCTAGAAAATTGCTGATCAACATTTGATATTGATACTAACCAGTAGTTAAGACTGTATAGTTTTATATATAAGCATAGATATAATTCAGAAAAATATCAAATGAAATGTTTTCTATACACTAATTATTTATTGGTATTATCGTTTGTTTTACTTTTTGCACTGAAACATTTTCTCAATATGATCAATCAGCGGAACAAGTTAACACACGTTCGTTAACAGGAAATCCATATTTTACTGTACTTGTGATAATCAATGATCAATCTGAAAGTCAACACTGTTATTAAATAATTCGATAGCAACTACTTATTCTCTTTCGAATTTTTATAATTTTACTTTTCTGTAATTTATTATAAAGTTATTTTAGCTGATGACTGATCATCGACTACTATTACTGCCAGTAATATCAACAAGAAAATCTGTGCAGCTTTAAGCGACAATTCATTGTCTTCATTCATGACTGATTCATTGACATTGTGGAAGTAAATCTATGTTAATTGCAATATTTTTATAGAAGTTATGAAATATGTATGAAATTTCTTTTTAATATTGATAAATTGTTTAATATATGTTTAATTTTGTCATATATTACAAGTAGTGTATTCTTTCTTTATGATATTATCATTAATGAATGGTGTCACTCAATCAGTCAATTATCGGATCTTTCCATTAATTCAAATTGTATACAACACTCTGCTTTCATTTCATATCATTTTTTTGTTAATAGAACATTACGCTGTTTCGTAAATGTCACCAGAGCATTTAGAAGCAGCTTTAGATCCTATGGATAATATTCTTATAAACAATGCTTATACGATATGAATTGATGTTTTTCAGTTTTTATTTGATAAAATAGTAATGAGAAAATGTATTAATAATTATTTTGGTTAAAGCTGAAATACCGCAAATTAATATTATTTGTACAATATGCAGTAAAATCAATAGCATAAGGCAATTTGCTAAGTAAAACTAGCTTTGTATTGAAACAGATGCTTGCTATCCATAACAATAAAATTACTCCACTTTTTCTTTTGTTCAGTTTTAACACATTGATATAATCATAAAGAAAAAAATATTTGGTTCTTGAAACTTCTGACAAGAAGTTTGTAATGATTTTTCTAGAAACTAACTCTTCATTCTATTATTACAATAAAAATATCTGTTTAGTTTTGTTAAAACGGTACCACATATCTACGAGAGAAACAATCATCAAAACATACTTAAATTAATAAAAGAATACCTTTTCAACTCTTTGTCAAATTTAACTCAGGGACTTCAAAAATAAAAAAAAAATTCATGACTTTCATGAATTTTATATCAAAAACATGAAAAAAAATCGCATTTTGGATCATGAAACCGACAAAAATATGCATATATTTGAAATTCATTGATTAAAATGAACATTTTCATCAATTTTATTTCATGATTTTGATTTGTAATTAAAAGCAGGGCATTAAATTGATGAAAATGTTCATTTTAATAAATGAATTTGAAATACATGCATGTTTTTGTCCGTTTCATCATTTTAATACAATTTTTTTGATTTTTTAATTTCTTGGGAACTTGTCTTGTTTTGAATGAACAGCTGTTATGTTTGTGTTAACAGATGGTATTACGAAAAAAGCAAAGCAATGATATATTTGAAGACATCTATACATAAAACTGATGCACCGACATCTAAACAACAATTAAAATTTTTAAAAATAATAGATAAATCATTATAAGTAGAAATTTACTATTAAAAAAATTTTGAATTCTTCTTAGGTTATTCCAAAATAAGGTGTTGAATATTTTTATCAAATAGATATTAATCGGAAAATTTTCGAATTAAAAACAATCTTGTCCATCAAATTCTCTTTAGTTGATTTACAAATTAAAATTAAAGTATTTTCTGTTTTTAAAACCATGTGTATAAAGTAAAAAGTAATTAGTCAATAGTAGAAATTGACATGCTTAGATACATAAATTTTCATTACCTGTTGCATTTCACGTTTATTTAAACTATTCATTTTGTAAACACGACTTTTTTTCTAAACAGATAAATATGTCTCAACAGGTCTCTCATCAACATATGAAGATTGATCATCTTACAATTCTCACAGTTTTCAATAAAATATACTTTTCTCCATTTGTTTCTTATCATTTCTCCTTTCATCGAAAATATTTTTCACGTTTACACTGTATTGGTAGTAACTAAGCTAGGTCTACTATTAAGAGTGATTAAACAAACCAAAAAAAACATCAAACGAAAAATTTCATCTTATATATCTTGCAATGAATAGAAATAAACTTTTGTTGTTCATCCAATGCATGTCAAACAACAAATGTTATTGTTACTTCAAAGGATACATGATAAGATATCTAGTTGATAATACGATGAATTTACAATTTCTTTTATTATTTAGTATTATGAATTTCTATAATCTAAAAATGAATAAAAATATTCTGAATTCTAAATTAATCATGAAATGTATATTTTAATATATAATTCTATTCTATAATTACATTGAAAAATAGTGTTTATGAATAAGCGCTCGATCATTTTATATGTATATATATGACTAAAGATAATGCTTGAGTCATCATCTATCGATTGAATAACCCCACTCAAAAAAACAGTCAAATTTCGTCAAAAACTTTCTTTTTTTGTTGAAATTTTGCATGATTTCTACTTTCACATACTTGAGATACATGCTATTTTTAGACAAAGAAGGGAACAGTTTTTTCGTTTCTTTCTCTGTTAATACTTTTTTTTGATTGCGCAATCCAAAAATTCTCTGTGAACCCATATTCTATACATTTAGTTATTTTGTTTGTAAAAGCATGTCAAGGTGCAGTATAGTAAAGAGTCCTCTTTTTTTTAATTAAGCTTTGTTTTATTATATATACAAACACTTATATAAATAGACGTCCATTTTTAGAGAGTTCGTTGAATCATTGAATTTATTATACCTTTTCTTCACTTAAAAAGTAGGAATTTAAAGAAAAGAAGGAGTATGCGCTGCACTACATCCTGATATGTTCTTTCAAACAAATAAAAAATGAAATATATAGGAATGAGTCTGGACAAAGAAATTTGGTTTGCTTAATGAACCATTTTAGACCATTGTTTGATGACTATTTCTGTCAGACACCATGGTCTAGTACTAAAACTTTTATCATAGCTTTTCCACTATAGTTCCAACATATTCTCAAAATACCAGGTGATTTGAATGTACCTGGCGAGGCCTTAAGAATATCAATACAGATACTATTGTTCCATTAAATTTTATCAATAATATTTTTCACATTCTAAATGTACTTTGTAATAAAGTATGTCTCAAGCGAGAATGTTCTCAACTTTATTTTCGACTATTATTTATTGAAGTCTAATCTTTTGATATACATACAATTCGTTCCGGAATCTTTTTTTTTGATTTGATATATAATAATACTTATTTTATGGTCAATTAATTGACTGAATAAAACAAGTTGGACAGAATGATATCGTGTTTTTATATATTTATCTTTACACGTATAGAATTTACACATTTGTTAAAAGTTGATCTATTTGTCTTCTATTACAATGACAATTATCGCTATAAGGCAGTATCAATCACATTCGGGAATCATTTATACTAAACATGTCATCTCTGTTGTTCATCAATAATAAATCTTTGCTCTTCTTATGTTACCAATTGTAGGTCTCGTCGACTGAATTATACATATATAGATGATTTATTCTGTTTCTATACACATACATCAGGACATACACAAAGATGAACAAATGAGATCTCATGAGAGATAATATAACATGACAGGATATAGCCCATTTTTTCACTTCAACGTGACCGCCCCTATAACTCCTCGAGAAATAAAACATTTCATATCCGGAACTTGTCAAACGTCTCATTACTATTAAGTAATTCTCATACATTCATCTAGTGGCTATAAGGCAGATGGCCTCATTTAAAGCAATTAAAGCTTATGCGCAATGTGTCACCGTGCCAAATCTATTAAAAGAAAGAGAAGAAGAAGAAGAAAGAAAAAAAGAACGAAGAAATTTAACAACATTATTCATTCACTAGATCAAAAAACATATGTTCACAATGATAACAATCTTATTCCTTTATATATATTATATATGCACAAAGTCAGGTAAATCGAAGTATTGTCATCAGTCTTCGTTCGTTCTTTTCATTATTTTTATGACAAACAAACTATGTAACTGTATTATACATCTTTACAAAAAAGTCATTGTTGTAATGGCAACAACTGTTGACAACACTAATGAAAAAGAAAAGTTGAAAAAAAAATCAATAGTTCCATTTGAACTTCTTCGATTGATGAAACTAAAGAGTCCTTCATGATTGAAACTTGAAAAATGATGTAAATGTGCATATAGTGTGTATGTACACGTATATATGTATGTGTATGTCAATCAGTTACTTGTCTATGAGGTAGACACATTGATAGAAGAATGGGACGAAGAAATGGAAAGGAAACCTTTTTTTATTTGTTGTGCTCTTTGCATCGTCATCGGAGAGAGAACGAGGAAAAAAATAAGAAATAAAAATCAATTATTGAACATTGAACAGAATGATTGACACAATGAACGATGAGAAAGATAAATGAACATAGAATGTATCTTGATTGTTTCTTTATTTTATTTTAGAGATCATCCACGACATTTAAAAATACAAAAGAACAAATCAATATGAAAAGGTAGTTTGTAGATTAAACCAGTCACGAAATGAGAACGATGATGGTGACTTTTACTTTTAGATGATAGTTAATCGTCTACATTGATTGAGTCATGTGGAATAATCGATCATGTTATCACAATTTTTCATTGTACTTATATTAATTTTTACTTCTTTTAATATTATTCAAACAATTGAATTTGGATGTGAACATAATTCAACGACTTATCCAGTAGGAATAAACATTAATAAATAAATATATATAATTTTTTTTGTTTTTGTTTTTATTTATTTAAGATTGATACTGAATGGACATTATCTGAATCTTGTCAAACATGTAAATGTTTATCAAATAAAATTATTATTTGTCGAAATCGAACATGTCAAATACCAAAAGATTGTCGAATGGTAAAATTAATTAGAAATTAATTAAATAAAATCGTACAAAAAAGTGTTTCTAGGGTGAACAATTAACATTAAAAGCAGGTAGTTGTTGTCCAACATGTTCGCCTATTCGACGTTCTTGTCTCTATGATAGTACTGCAATACTTGTATGTTATCAATTATATTTCTTATTTAACAAATGACTTTTTAACCTTTTATTTGCATAGCACAATACAATATTCTATCCTAAATCATGTCTTCAATGTCGTTGTCGAGATGGGCAACTGTTTTGTGATGATATTTGCCATCAATCAATCTTACAAAGTATTGATTTCTAGGATTAAGATTAGTTTTTTTCTTTTTGTAGAAAAGAATTTAAGTTTTTGTCTTGTTTGATGAATATTTGAATGTTGAGGAGTACTATAGACGCGATCTTAGATATGCATATATATGCTTCACTAATAGCATTACTTTTATATATTTATTAGTATAAGATTCATTCAAAAACTACTCACTTTTGAAAAAACAGAAAAATATTGACAGCTATTAGCAGTGTCGGACTACTTCACTAGATATTAGTGGGCAATTATATAGATAAGTACCTATTCATGAAGTTAGAATGTTTATGTTTCAAAAAGTATGCTACACATATTGAACGACGTATTGATTATTTATTGAATAAGTATGTTGAATCAGACAACATTACGAAGTTTTCAAATAGTTTCATCTTTTTTTTTCTTACTTACATTGAGAATCGGTGGACCTAATTGGATCAGTCAAAAAAAACATCTTTAGAAAATTATTAATAACTTCTGTTCTGAGCAGCACAAATAGTTGAGTGACGGTTTTCGAAGTAGGGCAAACACTGTTCTACAGATTTATGTATCATTGATTAAAAAATCTTCAGCTGATATCGTACAACAACAATAATAATAATAGCGCGAGGGTTAGTTTTTATCCAATTCTGCACCATTTTTTTGTTTTGATACCCATATTTTATTTTCTTAATTCTGCCATTTATACGTAAAATGACGGTAGATTTTATTCAAAAAAGCTGGATTTCTTTATGAAAATAATCTTTAGTTAAGATACAACACACATTATTCTATTCTTTCAATCATGGTGCGTCGACTAGGATTCCTCTTTCAATAAAATTCTCATTTGTCTAGCTCGATTTTTTTATTGATAAACATAAAAAGTTTTGTAAAATTCTTTTTTTTTTGTTCCTAATTCTGTCGATAGCTTTGAATAAACGAAAAGTCTTTAAATATATTAATGACGATAATTGAAATACATAATTCCATTATAAATCTCAGAGCAAAATTAATATTCTAGCTAAGAGTAACATGCAAACATGAAACAGGAAAAGTATTTTATACTTTTCTTTTCAACAAACTAATGAAGTTATTTCATTGAGTTGATTTTCTTATTTCCATGTTAAATGAACGAATATTTAATAAGTTTTAATT